GTTTCCATGGCAGAGCAGGGATTTGAACCCTGGTCTCCCAAATTCCTAGTCCAACACTCATACCACTGCACCACAATGACATTTATCTCCCCACATAATCCGCCCCGCACACTCCGTTCATCCGGGACTAATCTGCTAGAGGTCCCCAAGTCTCACTTTGTGAGGACCTCTCAGAGGGCTTTTTCCATCGTCGCCCCTTCCTCCTGGAATAACCTTCCTGCAGAGCTTTGCTCCTCTGCATCACTTGTCTCTTTCAAAAAAACTTTAAAAACGTATCTATTTCAGCTGGCATTTCCACCTTAAGTAATGGTACTTTTTTTTTTCCCCTCTGCCCCATGTGTTTTTTATTGACCCCTGACTGATGTGTTCCTAACTTTTATATTGTAACAATTTTAACTTTTTTACTGTAAGCCTCCTTGATCATATCTATGGAAAGGCGGGGTAAAAATAAAATTTATTATTATTATTATTATTATTATTATTATTATTATTATTATTATTTATTGTGTGCCTTCAAGTCATTTCCAACTTATGGTGACCCTAAACCATCTCTATCATTGGGTTTTCTAGGGCTGAGTTTGTGACTCAGCTAAAGTCACCCAGTGGGTTTCCATGGCTGAGTGTGGAAGTGAACCCTGGTTTTCAGGGTCACAGTTCAAAAATCACACCACTTCATCATGCTGGCTCTCCTGTGACATGGCTAATGCTTACACAGGCTCAGCACATGGGTAATTCCACTGCATCTGAAAGGCATCAGAATGGGCAAAGATGAGACATTAACAGCATGTGTGTTATTCTTGATTATTATTATTATTAGAGATCCATTATTAATTTTAACAAAAGACAGTACTTTAGGGTGGATGTGGTTTTAAGAATAAAAGCAGTGCAAGAAGGGAAACTTAGTGCCTCCCCTGTCCTTTTTTCCAATTCCATGCTGCCCATAGTTTATCACCCAGTGTATTTTGACCCCCTATAATCATGCATCTGAAATCCCACAGCAGGGAGGGACAGCTGGAACAAATATGAATGAGAAAAGGGTGAATGGAAGAGGGTTGACACATCCTCTGCCTTCCTGTTCCAGATCTCATCCTGGTGCAGTTGTTTGTTTGTTTCTTCTTAAAGCTGGGTTTAAATCCTCCCCTTAAGTACATCCCTTTACTGAATAATATCAGCTAGAGAGTAGATTTTCATGCACACTAACAAACTGTTGAAAACATTTAAGGAAGGCTGATGAGTAGCACTGGCATGTATGTGGTTTGGGTTTAGTAATTATCTCAGTGAATGATAAAGCAGTTTTCTGATGTATTCCTGATATAGTTTCACAAAAGCCCAAGGGATATAAACTCATCTGGGTGTGCTCAAGTTAACACCCGTAAATCTCTACGCTTCAGATAAGATTATATCCCTGGGGTGACTTGCTTTTTATTCTATTCCAACTAATGCTATTAAATAAAATCTTGCTGATGAAGCATCTATTAAATGTTGATATATTATCCCAGCATAGCTATAACTTAAAACTTTTTGCCCCTACCTAGTCTAAAGATGTGTTTTATCGTGTGTTTCTTTTCCAAATTCTGGAAAGTATTTTTGTGTTTTTGTTTTTTATTCTTTCTTTTTTTGCTTTCTGGGCATGTAGTGCCCCCCCCCAAGTTATAAGTTATACGGTACTAGCCATGCCTGATTTATATTTATGTATTATGCAATGTTTCGTTTTTTAAAAAAGAGAGCTGATGGAGATAAAATTAAAGTCATAACCTTTAGCCTGGTTTGCATGCTATGGGCCTTTGCAGACTGCCAAAAATAGTGCAAATTGAGTCCACTTTAACTGCCCTGACTCAGTGCTAGGGAATCATGGGAAATGTAGTTTATTGTGGCACCAGCGCTCTCTGGCAGAGAAGGCTCAATATCCCAGAAAAAATACAGTTCCCATGATTCCCTAGCACTGAACCAGGGCAGTTAAAGTGGACCCAATTTGCACTATTTCTAGCAGTCTGCAAAGGCCCTCTTATTGAGGCCCTGTCTGCATGGGCCAAATAAAGCATTCCCACCCCACCTCACCCACCATGAAGCCACCTGGATGAAGCATGCATGAACCAAATTCTGGTTGGTGTGAACAGACCAGATGAAAGCCAACCTATTCAGCACCAGCACCAGCATATAATACCCTTAACAGTAATTAAAATAACTCACCAGTTGCGCCAGATCTCCCAGGAAGATCCAGAACCTTCCATTCTAACTCTGGGTGCCTGTTTAAAATGTGTCTCATTCAGCTTCCCAGTCCATCCACTACTGCTACCAATTGGTCACTCTGACACCAGAACAGGAACCATTTGATCAAGGCTGGGTGCCTCATTCTGACTTCAGAACAAAGTGACCCATGGCAACAGTGAATGTGCCAGGCGGCTGAGTGGGACACCTGGCATCGGAATGGCGGGACTTTGCAACAGGGGAGAGTTGGGGCAACTCTGGAGCCAGCATACTCCAGGTTGCCCCACTCCAGTGTAGACAAGACCCAAGATGTTCTGACTTCTA